TTTCAAAAGTGATTTGCCATTGACTTCTTCCTAGGGCTGAGAAAAAGTGACTGTCGCTCATCTGGCTTCATGCCCAAGGCAGGATTAGAACTCAAGGTCTCCAGGTTTCTAGTCTAATGCTTTAACACATCAATCTGGTTCTATAAATTAGAAACTGTAGTTTGTAACAGTTTTTAAGAGATTTTTCAATATCTTTAGATCAGTGGTTCTCAACCCGTGGTCCACAGACCGCTGGGAGCCATGATGTTACAGGGGTTCTGTGAAAGCTTGAAGAAATATTAAATCTTGAGTTAAGTCTTGGGGGTCTGGGGCCATGGTCCATGGCCGCAAAAGGTAGTTAAGGGGGGCCATGTTCAAGAAAAGGTTGATAACCACTGTTTTACACCATATTGCAGTCAAAAGGTAGTATTTAGAAATTTCCATTATATACATGATAGAAAAACTTCACACAATTGCCATTTCTTTCTCTTTGAAGTGAAGAACTGCTATGAGTGAGGAAGAACAACAGTAACATATAAATGAAAATAAAAAGTGTCTTAAGAATTCTCTGAATGGCAGAGAATTTTATATTTTCTAGAGTAAGAATTTATGAGCAATTTTGTAATACCTATCATGCTGATATCTACTTGAAATGAAGCAGTTCATATGATTTCTAAATTTGGTAAGCTTCAGATACTCTAGTCCGAATCATTTAGAGTTTTAAAGCCCCAAATCTTTTAAAATTGATCCTGAATGTTTCCATTCCAGATAGTTCGTCTTCTGCAAACTTTGATCACCCTGCTTGCTGGCATGGTATTTCCAAGTTGCATATGGAATTCCTACCTTTTTAAAAACCTCATAAATTTCTATGGATCTTTGATAAAATTTCCACATTAAAAGAGATAGTGTAGCTTCAAAGAGCGCGGCATTTTGAAAGGGTGTACATATAAATTTACCTTTACACGTTGACATTAATGATAAAGCAGCTTTACTTGGAAAACATATGGGATTCTGAATCAAAAGCCTGGTTTTTCTGCTTACAAAGATTTAGCCTTGGAGACTCAAAGCTAGCATTTGGCTAACTAAAGCAACTGTTGCTGATAAAATTTTTATCTGTTAGACTTAGCTTTAGAATAACTTTATTGTCACTTTGAATATACACTAATTGACATATATTAAAATGAAATTTAAAATGAAATATTGTGTAAGACAATTATGACTTTACTAAATACATTTATAAATGTTTAAAAAAACTAAGCTATAATTTTTTAATTAGTAGTGTAAATAGCGTAAACATTCTACATCAAAGAACTTTACAAATTAGAAAATGTATATTGTTCTGTTACTGAGAGTCAGTTTCATCAGTCTTAATTGGATTTACTTTCAAATAGACACACATATAAATTGTATTGTGGGTGACTGAATGTGTTACTTCATAGTTCTTTAAAATAAAGAGTTATGAAATAATTAATTTTCAGATTGTTGTCACAGACGCAATCCGTTATATAAATTGAACAATATTTTGTGTTAGTATGTGTGTAACACACATATACTAAAGGATGTATGTATAATTTATGTATTTTACAAAAAAAATTAGACTTCATGACCAATAAACAACTGATTTTATTTTCCTTATAGGGTTATCCTGGGGAAGACAGCTCAATGCTAGGACCACCTGGGCCCCTAGGTGAACCAGTAGGTCTTTCTTTAGCCAGAAAATTACAGTCAACATTGTATAAACAGATACAATTTGTTTTAAAATATGCATGTGTATGCTTGCACATGTACTACACCCTATTGATGCAACCCATGCTTCTTAGATTATGGTTTAGAGGTTAGTAGTAATATTAGTTATACACTGTGTTGATTTTCAATCTGCACTGAAAATAATAAAGGAAAATACTGAAGAGATAGGAGCTATCTCACTGATGTAGGAACTAGTAAATGCATGGATGAATTTAACTAATCCATTAAAGGTTTTGGCCATCCATTTGTATGCAGATAATATTACTCTGTATATAAACATGTTAGACAGCAGAAATATATTGTATGAAATAATGTGAATCACTTTAAGGTTCTATGTAAATTCAAATTACTATTATGAGGAGTCATTTCCTTAAACTTTCTAGAATCTACTGTAAAAACCCTCACCAGTTCTACTTTTCAGTTTGATATGCTTAGGTTTGAGCATGAATGATTCAAAACCTAAGTATTTTTAGACAGCACTTTAACTCATGTGGTTATATATTCTTTCAGCTCTGTAGAACTAATAACAAATTAAATTTCAGTGATGCTTTGCAGTGTTTTGGAATTTGCTAACATCTTGTTTTTCCTTCCTTTCCCCCTAAGATATGCTATTTTGTAAAAAAAAAAAAAATGCAGTAACTGTATTTCAAATGAAATTTTAAACAGTCTGGATTCTTTATGGTTATTTCTCTAGGGTCCTACTGGTGAACGGGGAGAAAGAGGAGAACCTGGTGACATAGGTTACATGGTAAAACTTATTTTGGTGTTTATGTACATGTTACTTCTAGTGAACTTACAGCAACATGACTGTCTTGTACACGTACCTGAATATCTCTTTAAAATAAATTTAGGACAAACATTGATTATTGAAAAAAATTGGAAAACATAGCAACTAATTGTACATAAAAACTAAACCCTAAAGAGAATTCAGGATCAATTTATCAGAATGAATGCTTGGAAACTGAATAACAAGATTTGGGAACTGGGAAATAAATAAGATTGAAACTTCTTTGTTATTCTTTTGATAATCAATATCATATTCATGTCAGCATCATACAGAACATGGACTAGGAAAAGGCTTGGATTTCACATCACCCTCACAGCAAAAGAGGGCAGAGCATATGCTACAAAAGTGGGTTCCATCCATTTAATAAAAGCAACAAGATCTTGCAGATACCACAAGGCATCTAGCAGAATAGATTTTAGACTTATCAACAAGCAAAAATGGCAAGATTTTTAAGAATACATTGGAATAAGAGACACAAATGTTTTGTGCGGTAAAGTGTAAATAAATGTGTGTGTATGTGTAAATAGATCTTAACACAGTACATCGAAGAATATGTGTATGTGTATTTGTAATATGCCCTTTGAATGGCATTGTTTGCCTTTTGATTTGTACTGCCACCCTTCTCTTGTAACATAGATATATCTGAATGTCATCTCAGTGAGGTGCTACTTTCTTGCGCCATCAGTTAATTAAAGCAAGACTTAGCATTTTAGAATTTATACTCTTGAAAGAAATGGAAACTTCCTTAATCAAGAATAGGTTCTCTTGTTTCTAGGGTCACACAGGACTCCCAGGACTTAGAGGTGCTATTGGACAACAAGGGCCACCAGTAAGTCTCTAATAAAGTACATTGTAATTCTGCCTTTTTTTTTTTTTCAAAACAAGTGAGAAAATCTCCATTTATCCTCAGGTTTGATATCATACAAACATTATCTATATTACCATTTTCTTTTCCGAAAGGGTGAGCCAGGTGAAGAGGGTGAGCAAGGACCAAAAGGAGAAAGAGGATCTCAAGTAAGTAGAAAGTGGAAATTTTTTAGGGAAAAAGTTCAAAATAAGGTTATTCAGTGATTTAAAGCAGCTGTCCTCAATCTTTTTGGCTCTACGGACTGGCGGCGGATGCAGCAGCAGGGGAAGAGGGAGGGCAGGGGATGGTTTTGCGCGTGTAACCTAATACCGCACTTGTGCAAATAAAGTTTTGCGCACTTGCCCTGCTGCTTGTGTAGCCCGGTTTCCAGCGGGCCACAGACCGGTACTGGTCCCCTGCCCAAGTATTGGGGACCCCTGCTTTAAAGTCTATAAATACTTTGTTACCGTAGTTGCTACGTTGTAAATTTATTCTCATCCCTAGAACTTAGGGTGATATAAACGGTATTGATGAAGTTACTGAGTGCAATTACATCCAGAATAACCATGATGATGTCAAAATGAGAAGAATGAGTTATGGCATCATTTGCATAATGACTCACACATATTCATTTCCCTATGTACCCAACTTACCTCCGTGAATCCCTCTGACTGGATATAGAAGACACATCCTTTGCCTAGAGCACTGCCACCACCTCTGTTTTTAAACTGCCCCAGCCTGAATACCATCATCAGTGATATCCTACTTAGAGCCAGGAAAAGGTATCTAGAAAGGAAGTGCCTAGGAGAGGTTATGGGAGGGGGTTGAGCCAACAAAGACCAAACCAGTGGCAATACAGATCAGCAGATGTTACTATTCAAGTGTAGGTAAAGCAAAAAGAAAAATTAAAAGTATTGACAATGGAAAAATAGATAAAAGGATGAAGAAATTTAATTTAGATATAAAAGTTACGGCAAGGCAAAGCAAGTAAAACAGAATGCAAAAATAACATGGAAGAAGATTATGCAAATAAAATAACTATAAATAATAAAACACATCACTTTAGTAGTATAACACAGAGATGTATTGTTGAGCCTGCCTCTTTTGTAATAAAACCAAAAATATTCTAAATAGGAATTGGACGGTAGGTTGGGTATGATCCATATTAAACCTCCCTCTAATAGAGGCAATTCAAAACATAATGACATCATGAAATTTCCTATTTGTTGCCTAAGGATAAGCCTGCTCAGATTGAACAACAGCAGTAGCTCTGGATAATTTGTTATCTAGCTTCACATTTGGAAGATTTGGAGTGGATGGTGAAGGCACCAACTTCCTTGTTGGTGCTCTTAAAAGGAAGGAAATTACTCCAGAAGCCAGATCTCAAATCCAGGTTTATAGTGGCCAAAGAACTACAAAGCAAAACTCTGATTCCTAAGCAGATCTTTTAGTTTACTTTTGTTTACAATAGCATGTCTCTGCTCTAACCCTCAGAAGGGGGTTAGAGTCTTTGGTACAGTCATGTTTCATGTAGGGAATGTTATTTGAAAAGTGGGAGCTGAAGTAAAGCATCTGTAGAGGGCTGTAAAGCACTGTAAAGCGGTATATAAATCTAAATGCTATTGCTAAATGCTCTCTGTAATCTTACAAGGCACTGGTGTTCTCTGGATCATGGCTACAGTAAAAATCCACTTGAATCTGTTTGGAGAGAAAATACGGATTGTACCATAATTCATCTCTGCTTGATGTATTGGGCAAATTCCAAATAAATAAATATAAGCAATTCTTATAATGACAATTGTACTCTTAAACTCCCACTTTAAACTAAATTTTGCTGCAGTAGAATTGTATTCTGAAGATATGTCACAATCTGAGACTGAAAGCGAAACATATTATATTAAGGTGCATGTCTCAATAGCTCAATAGCATGTCCCTCAATAGAAAAAAAGGTTTGTGGTAAATGGACAAACATCTTAAAGAATATGTAGTCAGCTCATAATCTCTAAGTGGTGCTAAGAATGCACTCAGTCATTCAGGCCTTATTCATATCACGAATGAACTAGTGATAGTAGTGCTCTACATGGGGCTACCCATGGATAGCATTCAGAAGCTACAGTTGGTACAGAATGCGTTGACACGGGTAGTTCTTGGGTCCCCAAGAATGGCCCATGTAACACCACTGCTCCACGAGCTGCATTGATTGCCAGTCTGCTTCCAAATGCAATTAAAGTGTTGGTAATTACCTTTAAATACCTTCACGGTATGGGTTTAGGCTACTTGAGGGACCATCTCATCTCACTGGGATTGGCCGTCCCTTCCTGTAGTGGCAAAAAAGGCAGGCTGTGGAGCCCATTAGCCAAATTATTCTGGCTGGCGGGATCCAGGAGAAGGGCCTTCTCTGCCGTTGCACCTGCCCTGTGGAACATATTGTCCCCTGAAGTGAGGTTTGCCTGACCTTCCTGAATTTCCAGAACAGCCTAAAGACCTCGCTCTGCCAGCTAGTTTGGTAAAATGGGTGGCCTATAAATTTTATAAAAAAATAATTAAAAATATGGTGGAAAAATTCAGAATCCTAACTGATAGTTAGATGTTATAGTTTGACAGTTAATAAATATTTTGAAATTTCTAGGGTCCTACTGGCAAAAAAGGATCAAGTGGTCAGCCTGGGAAACCTGGAATGCCTGTGAGTAAATTGATCGATCAAGTGATTCTATTTTAAGTTATGACTAATACAGATATAGATAAGTTTAGGTTATATTATGCAGACAGACACATTATCAGTGAAAAATAAATAGCAAATCAAATAGAATGTCCTTAACTTATAGAAATATACAATGAAATATTTTTATATTGCAATCTTGAGATGTTAACATAAAACTAAGCTCCATAAAATATAGCTTATCCTTGAAATGTATTTCTGGAATTGCAGCCTAATTTTATTATGAATACATATATTCAGAGAGGAAATATAGCTGAAATGAAGTAAGCAAATCTAATCTCAATTTCATATTATCAACCTGAGCTACTATAACATTGGTTATTAACTGTGCTAGATTGTCAGTGGTATTACTTAGATCTAGATGGTGTAGGCCTTTCAAACAGAATTCACATTTATTTCAGAGTGAATCCGGTCCTGTTGGTCAGAAAGGTGTAGCTGGCAACCCTGGACCAGAAGGTGTACCTGGCAATCCTGGAAAAGCAGGGTTACCTGGACAGCAGGGCCTTCCTGTGAGTAACAGTTGAACTAATTTTATTCCGATGTTGATGGCTGAGGTCTTTTAAAAATTGCATCATCAGTAATGTGCAGTAGCAAACTTTAGACAAGAATAGAATGTCAGTATTTCCCTACAGATAATGCCAGCCATTTTCCTTTGAGAAGGAAGTGTGTCAAAAATACATTAATGCAACTTCCATTTCTTTACTTACTTTACATTGTAGTATAACATCAACTTATGTAGAAACAGAATGTGCTACAATGGGAACACAAGCAATGCCTTTCGTATGTTCACTTAATATTTTTACAATAAAATAGATGGTCAGCTTCAAAAACTCCTTTTTGTCTTAATTGGAGCCATCTTTATCTTGTTATGTTGGTGGAATTTCTGACCAGTGTAGGTACAGTAGTTAGTTTGATATTGATGTTTGCAGGTTTGTGAAATGTGTGAGTGAATTTCTGAATTAGAATCTAGTTTATAGAGTTAGTATTTATTTATGCTCCTTTATTTATGCTATCATATCTGATATTTCAGGTAGCACCATCATTGTACGCAGTGCTTATTATAATGGCATTATTATTTCAGGGCTGTAGCATCACAGTGTATGAATATGGCTAGTCAAATTTATATATGAAATAATAGTGGCTATTCTGAATATATTAAAATTTGTATTTGTCCTCTGCTAAAAAATAAATGGGTGGCTGACTTAAGGGACTCTCTTTAACTGGCTCTTGTTTGTCAAGGGTACTAGAGGAAGCCCAGGAATAGCCGGACTAGCAGGATATCCTGGGAGTCATGGACCAAAAGGTTCACCAGGTGTGCCAGGAAGCCCTGGCCTCCCAGGACTAAAGGTACTTTGGTTTTTTTTGATGTTTTTAGGTTGTTATGGAGTTTGCAACTGTTGTTGTGTTGTATGCCACCCAGAGTAATGTGTTTGTAAGAGGACAGCTATATAAATATACTAAATAAAATAAATAAATTTATAAGACACTCCAACATGACCTGGCATGGCTTATGAAATAATACAGTAAAAACCAAGTTGTGCATAATTATTTTTAAAAAAAATTTAATTGATTTTATTAATAACAAAAGATTCTTTGCTAATGTAATGGTATCAGAAGTGGGATCCTACCGGTTTAACAACTGGTTTGCTAAGCGCACGCTTAGCTATCTATAACTGGGAAGGCTGATGGCATTCTTTCTCTGAGAATATGAATTCATTCTCATTCTTGCTTGCTGCAGGGTGAACAAGGGCTTCGGGGACATCCAGGAAAGCAAGGTAAAAGAGGATTTCCAGGGACACAAGGTGATCAAGGCCCACCAGGACTTCCTGGCCAGAAAGGACTCCCCGTATGTATCTGTTGTAGTATGTATTAAGTATCTATTAAGATGTCATTCCAAAGTATTAATCCTTTTGTCTAAAAATATTACAGGGAGAATTTGGAGATCAAGGTTTGATGGGATTTCAAGGATTTCCAGGTCCCAAGGTATGTGGTTTATTTGAGACCAGTTTAAATAAATATTAAGCATCTTTTACGACTTATGGAATTAAATAGAAGATGATGGTCAATTCCAGTCAAAGATGACATGGAATGAGAAGTCCATCTATTGGGCCCTTACTGTGTGAGGGCTCAGGGCTCTTTCATCTCTCTACATGGGGTCACTGAATAATACTCTTTATTTCTTAATGTATATTTTAATATTTTTTTTATATTTGTTGTTTTTATATCTGTGGTTTTTTTATCCAATTGTTGTGCATTTGATAAATGAACAAAAAAACAAACAAAACCCCCCAAATAAATAGTGTTGTGTTATATTTTTAGGGCCCTGAAGGTGATCATGGTTTAATTGGAATTTTGGGACCAAAAGGCCCAATAGGTGAAATAGTAAGTATTTATATGAATATCAAGACTTATTTGTTTGTTTACAGCTATTCACACCAAGCCAGTCAAATATAAGCAAGTTACAGTCATAATCAATATGTATCTAAAATCAACAGAAATAACTTAATGAACAGCAGTGACACAAATCAAATGCCAATGCTGTTGTCTATCTTATTGCAGCTCTGCTCTACCAGAGCAGAGCTGCAATAAGCCCTTGCATGAGCCCAAGTATTCTTAATACAAGATGGACCTATGGTGGTTGTTCTTGCTGTAGTTGAGTAAAATATCTTAGTAGAGCCTTGGTGCTCTCTGAGCTTGGTTGTTTTCTTGCAGATGTTGCATTACTCAACTAGAAAATATCTTCAGTGCTAGAAGAGAGTGGGGTTTGCTCTCTATATAGTAAGTAAGTAAGCTGTTTATTGCGGTCAGAGACCAAATTAAAATACACATAGAAGGGGAGTATATTTTACAAATATAAATAGATCATGTGACAGTACACCATCTACTGCCTCAGATACAATCTGTACTGTCAGTACTAGTGATCCTCTGCCGTAGGGGTTACCCGTCTCTTCCCCCGTTTTTTTTCAGCCACAACTGCAGCAAAATTTTTTGCCACCTTTGGAGTTATATTGGGGTCTGTGTCCTGGAGTAGGAAATAAAGGCTGAACAGATCAGCTGAACCAGGGAATCTCTGGGAAATAGGAGAAATGAATCTTGATTTTATGTCTCGGTTGTGGGGACATATGAATGTAATGTGGAACAGAGATTCTGGGGATCGGCCATCACATGTACAATAGATGGATTTTACTCCCCCCGAGAGCCTACTGTCGAGGACATTCGAGGGGATCACATTAAATCGTGTCTTCATAAATGCAAGCCTGTGTTTGTTTGCTCTCTATATATAGTGACTTGCCCAGTTAGCATTAGTGGGAGTGTTTTCTTTTTGGTAGTTACTTGATTAGGCTGTTATTTACTGTTTGATTGTTTATCTGAGTTGGTAGATCCTTGATCGGGTTATTGTTTACTGCTTGATTGTTAGTCTGGTATTAATACTGGCGTTAATCCCTGTTTATATGGGTATTAATTGCTGGCAAGATATTTTGGACTTTTTGTTTCCTTTTTAATTTTTCGTTTGTCCCTTATGAATGATATGTAAATGTTGCATATGTGCTTGTTGATGGCTGATTGGTCAGAGTTCCAGGCTTCCAGGAATTCTCTACCAGTTTCTGGATTTAGTCAAGTTCAGAAAGCACCGAGGGCGCCACGAGCTACAAATATTCTCTTCTAGAACCTAAATAGCTGACCAAATTTCATATTTGAAAAAAACATTAGTTCTGGCCACCAGATGGCAATGTCTACTAGAATTTTATAAAAAAAGTTGTAATATTTCAAACAGTTGGTTAAGGCTGTTAAATGGGCAACTTCTTCTGGCCATGAGAGCGCCTGCTGATCAGAGTTGAGACTCTCCAAAGAAAAGTGCGAAAACTTTCAGATAAAGCTATTTCTCCATAAAAATCAGTCTTCTCGATACGTTTAAAACCAAAATAAACAATCACAGTCATTTTAAAATTATGGGTACCTGAACCTCATCCCCGTTTCAAGATAAATTGCTAAAGATGCTGTCTTAGATATGAGTAAGATATAGGTATACAAGTTTTTCATCTATCTTTTGAATCTGATTGAATTTTTTCTAGATAGTTTAGCATGACCAAAGTTTCATGTTTGCCTTCTACAGTGGTTCTTTCTATACCATCAGTTTATTTTTTGCAGCTACCACATGAGAGTGTTCTTCACAAGTCAAACTTCAGCTGCCATTATTATCACAGGCATCGGTCTTGTAGGACTGTGAAGAAGCAGGAGGTTGATAGGCATTCATGAATTAGTCCAATAAAAGGACACTCCTGTATCAGTTGGTGTAAACGTAAAGCAGTCCATCTGTCCTGAGAAGCTTCTCCTTTCTGCTATTGAACTCAGACATAAATAAGACAACATCTTAGCAAATCTGTTCATGAAGTAAGTCCCAAATCTAATTCCATTCATCAGGAAACAATTACATAAGGAACATATGTGAAGCAAGTTACATTGCACAAAATAACATAATCCTGAATATCATAATTAGTGTCAGGATTACATCTTAGAATCACTACATTCCCTATTTTAAGCTGTTAGGAAAATCTGGATGGAGTGAGCAGATAGGCTCCTACTGGATCCTTCCTGGCCTCTTTAATCATGGTTTCCCAAAATACTTCACTTGGAAATTAAACTTTCAATGTTTCTCCCAGATCATTCAGACCTTCTCAGTTAAGGTCCACCCACCACTAGTTCAGTTCCATCAAAGTTCCTCTACCTACTTAATATGTACACAAATTACCATGCTTAGCAGATAAGAGCCTTGGTAGTGCAGTGATTAGAATGCAGTATTGCTGGCTAATTCTGCCCACAGCCAAGAGTTCAATCCTGACCAAGGCTGACTCAGCCTTCCATCCTTCCAAGGTCAGTACAATGAGGACCCAGATGGTTGGGGCCATATGCTGAAGTTGTAAACTGCTCAGAGAGTTCTGTAAAGCACTACAGAGCAGCATATAAGTCTAAGCACTATTGCTATATAACTTTGAGCTTTTCCCAAACAATTATTAATAATGAATTTATAATTAAGGAAAAAAAAGGTTTTCATTACATAGACCAAGATATGCACAAAATATATTTGGCCTCCTCCTTGAATATTTTTATATGGCAATGGTTGTTTGCTACCGGTTTGTAGAAGTGCTGGCACACACATGAGCACCCGCGCACACACGAGCGAACCAGTAGCAACAGGATTTGGAACCTACCCCTGGTATATAGTCTTTAAAACTTTATTAGACTAGGACTAATCTTAGTTTTTATTATTGCTTTTATACATTTACTTCTGAATTGTTTTACTGATTTTTTTAATTGTGTGGTTTTTTTTAATTTTAGGGAGAACTAGACTGTAGATCACAATAACCTAATAAAGTAGTATATATATTTATCTTTGCATTCAAGCAAAAATATTTGAGTGTTGTGGCCCGCCAGCGGCCTGCACGGATCGTGGCTGATCCCGACGACGAGGAGACTGGTGTGGGGTCGCACCAGCAGCCTGCGCAGCCGACGCTCGCGTCGGACAGCGAGGAGGCTGAAGAGGATGTGGTGTCAGAGGCAGAGACTCAGCCAGGGCCTTCAGAACCTCCAGAGGCTCCTTCAAGTGGAGAGAGTGAAGTGGAGGAGCCTCTCCTCAATGCTCGAGCATGCAGGGCTGCCAAAAGGCAGGAGTGGCTACTCAGGAGGAGGAGGTCTCCTCGAGAGTAAGGTTTGAGGATAATTGGCCACTCCCTTAGCCTAGTTAAATCACACGCAGTTAGTAATTTCTTGCTGGAAACAACGTGTAATTATTAAAGGAGCCTTGGTAGTACAGTGGTTTAATGCACCCTGTAATTAACACAGCTGCCTGCAATTTCTGCTGGTTCGAATCTTACCAGGCTCAAGGTTGACTCAGCCTTCCATCCTTTCTAAGGTAGGTTAAATGAGGACCCAGTTTGTGGGGGCAATAAGCTGACTTTGTATAAATATACAAAAGTATGAAGGCTATTGCTTAACGCATTGTAAGCCGCCCTGAGTCTCCGGAGAAGGGCGGCGTATAAATCAAATTAAAAAAAAAAAAAAAAAAAGAGCAGTTTGGATAGTGAGTGTCTTATTGTATCTTGTTTTCTGGGCTGGTTGCCAACCTTTGCAGGACTTTGTTTATTCTTGGTACGTTATAACTTTGATAAGGACCGTTGGTGTGTGTCACAATCCTTTGGAATCCAGAGCTGGGGCAGAACATTGAGTGAAAGAAATAACCAAAATAAATTTATAAAATTGAATTATTTTTGTTTGGTAAAGCAATATAACTTCGTTATAGTGGTGATGTTGCTTATTTACTTAAATTACAGCTTGCAGCATACTATATGAGATTTTTTGTTAATCTAAACACAAAATGTGTACATGAAATTTAATACTTGCTCATTTTTTTAAATAAACAGAAGTCAAATTCCTTTACCTTTAGTACATTATTCAAAATTTCATAATGCCACTCTGAAAAGCTAAATATGAAAATAAAAATGAGATAAACTAAATTTGCATTGTACATTTATCTTGTACCCAGAAAACAGTTTAGTATTATATGTTTGGTAATGGAATGTAAATAAAAGTATGACATAACATTAAATTTTCATAAGAATATTTGCATTCAGTTATTGCTCTGCAAATTATTTTCCTTTTGGTTTTCAGGGAAACACAGGCCCTGTAGGTTATGAAGGTATTGTTGGTCCAGCTGGCAAACCTGTAAGTGCAGATCATCACAATTTGTTTTTTATTCCTACACGTAATGCTTTCTCTACGTTTTTCCTAAGATACGTTGTCCTTAGTTCCCAAACATTTTTGATGCCAAGGAATATTTATTTAAAAAGTTACAATATATGGAAATTACATAAACTGTTTTAAAAATCAGAAAATTGCTTATTTTTAACAGGCAAAATACACATGTATAAATCTGTTCTGTAGGAAAGTCCTAATTATAAGCATGAATGGTACTTTTTATTTTTGTTTTATGCTTTGGATGGTACTGAACCATTCAGATATATCCTTAATAAGATGAAAATTATTCGTGTAATTTCTATACATAACATTTTAATTAACCATATATTAAATGTAACAAAACATATATGTATACAGATTAAATACAATACATTAGAGCAAGAAATGGCAACCCATTTCAAGATTCTTCCATGAAAATTAAGTGGACCAGGACAATGTTAAAATAATACTGGAATCCCCAAATCAGAAGCTACTGGGAAAAGCCAGTTTGGTTTAGTGGTTAAGGCACTGGGCTAGAAATCAGGAGACTATGAGTTCTAGTCCTGCCTTAGACATGAAAGCCTGCTGGCTGACTTTGAAACAGTTACTCTCTTTCAGACCAACCCACCTCACAGTGTTGTTGTGGAAAAATTAGGAAGAAAGAGAGATAGCTATGTTCACCACCTTACGTTATTTATAAAAATAATAAAGACAGGAAATAAATAAACAAACAAATAGCATAAAGCAAGTATGAGCAATACTGGATGCAGCTGTTGATATGTCCAACGCAAAAATTATCTAAAGATATTATACAATTGATATATAGAATGACAGAAATATGAATCAAGGCAAAATTTATGTTTTCAGTGCAGAGATGTTAAGATCAAACATTGCTATTCTGGAAATCAGCAAATTGGAATGGTCTGCAAAAGCTTAGAAGGAACGAGACCTACTTCATACATTACTGGCTTACTTGTTAACAAAAAGGAATGAAAATCAAATCAAAATGCTTGGAAACAACTTCCAAATAATAGATTTAATTTCAGTTCAGTTTCAGAACAAACCAATCTAATTACTATTATAGTGATGGAATCTATGCTGTAACCACAGAGGCAGAGGAAGCAGAAGGTTTTAGGGTGACTTAAAACACTGTGTTGACATAATATCAGAAGAAAGCATAATAGTTACAGCAAATGAGGATTCTACGTTAGAAGTGAAATATACTTGGAATAATGGGAAAAATTACCTTGATTTACAGATTTGTTATTCTAGCAAATATTTCTAGCAAATATCTTCCAATAAATTAAAATACACTTCAATACATTACCTGAGAAGAAGGACCAAAATCAAACTCAGTAGGTAAACAGCAGTCAAATCTGGAAAAGCTCCATTCTGTGTACAAAAACAAGATGTGGTTCTGACTGTAACTCAGATCACAAACTCCTTGGGAAATTATAATTCAAACTAAAGAAAGCAAATTCATCAGACCAACTATTGCTACATTGCGATATTCCATATTATCATGAGTGTAAGGTAAGGAATAGATCTAATAGATTAGATGGACTTTAAGAACTCTATACTGAAATTTGTAACATTATTAAGGATTGTGTAATGAAAAATATTCTGAAATACAAAAAGAACCCCCAAAAGATGTTGAAATGAGTGTTTGTTAATTTTGAAAATGTCTGAAGAAAGATGAAAAACAAAAGACAAAGTAGGGAGAGGAAAAGTTGGTCAATTAAATATTTAGTACTAGAGAAGAACAAAAAAGACAAGGGGTTATATCTAAATAAGCAGTGAACTTGAGTATAACATCTAAAAGATTAAGAATTTCATTTAAGAAAGTTACAAAAGATCAAGCGAAACATGATAAAAGGCAAAGAAGGCAACTACTTCTTAAGGAAAAAAAATACATAGAATACAAATACATAGCAAAATTATACAAAAAAGATCTCCAATCAGTAACACATACAAGGGTTTCATTCCTGAACTAAAGGCACACATTTGGAAAGTGAAATGTCTATGAACTATAGAAAATATCACTAACAAAAATATTGAAGAAAAACCAGTTGATTTCTAGAGTCATGGCCAACCTAATAGCACATAATCATAATCAATGGAAAACATGTTAGAGGCTGCACTGGCTCCCAGTGGTCTTCCGGGACCACTGGCTCCCAGTGGTCTTCCGGGTGCGCTTCAAGGTGTTGGTTATCACCTTTAAAGTCCTCCATGGCATAGGACCTGGATATCTTCGAGACGGCCTGCTGCTACCAATGGCCTCCCACCGACCTGTGCGCTCCCACAGAAAAGGCCTCCTCAGGGTGCCATCGGCCAAGCAATGTAGACTGGTGGCCCCCAGGGGGAGGGCCTTTTGTGTGGGGGCACCTGCCCTCTGGAATCAACTGCCCCCAGAGATACAAAGAATTCATGACCTTGGTGCCTTCCGCCATGCCCTGAAGACCTTTCTTTTTCAGCAAGCCGGGCTGGCTTAATACTTTTTAAAATGTTTTTAATAGGTCTGTTATTGTTCTTTTAATTATGGGGCCAAACGCATATATATCTTTTTAACTGTATTTTAATGTTTATATCTATGTTTTTTACTTTGGCTGTACACCGCCCTGAGTCCTTCGGGAAAAGGGCGGTATATAAATTTGATAATAAATAAAATAAAAAAATAAATAAGGGACTGGAAAAATATCTATTTATATCCCAATACCCTCACCCACCCAAAAAGCCCCACGGGGAGGCTAGTAACATGCTCATATTATTAAAAAGTTTTGTTTATCACACAGACTATTAAATAATTCTCTGGATTTCGTAATACAGACATCAATGGTATATGAAACAAGAATTGCCAAATGTACAAGGTGGATTCAAAAAAGGCAGGAATACTTGTGATCACACTGTGAATATTCAGTGGATAGTGGAAAAGGCAGAAGAATTTGAGAATGACTTCTGATTTGTTTTATTGATTAGACTATAATTATGTAGACTACAACAAATCGTATCTATTCCTTAAAAACATGAACGTATCAGGCAGGCCACCTCATCAGTTTGCTTAAAAATTTGTATGATGACCAGGCAGCAACACTTAGATCAGAATATGGAGCATCGAAATGCTTCAGCATTGAGACTGGAATTCACCAAGGTTGTATGTTTTCACCATATTTATTTATTTATTTACATATTTATTTTATATACTATTTTAGAGAACAAATATGACAGATCTAGCTGTATTTTAAAACTCAAAGATATTACACTGGCAATTTTATATTGTCAAAGCATGGTTTTCCCAAGTGTAATATAAGCTGTAAAAATATTAGAAACTGAACAAAGAAAAACGGATGTATTTGAATGTATTAATGTTATTCAGTTGATGCCCTTCTCACATTAATGACTCTAAGCAGCAAACATAGGTAAAAAAGCAATATAGTAATACCAAATAAAAATACACACACAAAAAGAATTGTAGTGTTAGAGAAAATTGTTGACAATTCAATCACAAAAGAAGAACTCAATACAAACTCTAGAGTCCTCACTGCAAGCATTAGTAATGACGTTCAAGCTTAAATATATATATTAGACATAGAATGTGAGGTCAAGGATTGTTGAAGAAGACTGATACTTTCTATGTAGTTATTAAACATGTAATAGGTGAAATACAGCAAACAGAATTACACTGAGCTATAAACTGAATTAAGACACACATTTTAAAAAAGGTGAAGCACAAGCAGATTTTGCGGATTAATTTTATGTTATTTATGAATTACTGTACAAAGAAACTAAAAAAGAAAGGTTTATGTAAAAAAACATGCTATGTAAATTCCTTGCAAACTTTTATTAGTTGAACTGTAGTATAATATGCTAACTTTTTACAAAGTTATTAATTTTCATCCAGTAAAAAAGTAAATGCCCTTCTGTGAATATTCATACAGCTGAATTAATGTTGATGCATTTCTTCATATAAGTGCTTATATATCAGTACATCTCAGTGTGATTGAAAGCAAATGATGGAGAACATAAAAGATTAATGTAATTTCATTTTTTCCTCAGGGATACAGAGGAGAAAAGGGATCCAGAGGTGAAATTGTAAGTGAAATCAGTATTCATTCTTTGTGGAGAGGATTAGGAATATATGTAAGGATGCTGAGCAAAGCACTGAAAGATGTTTTCAGGTTATATAAGAGATCATACTTCTGTGGTTCTAAATTGTCTCTTGGCTCGCTGATATTTTGAATTAGTACATGGCCTCCTATCTAGTAGTGGTGGCTCATCAAAGCAAAAATTAGAGTGGATGCACAACAGGTGGTATGCATGTTATTAGTATGGTAGGATGAAATTTTTGTGTTCATTTAGTGTAAGCAAACTTTTAAACAAAAAAACTAGATTGATTTATTTACCGCTGCATGGCTGGTTGGTTGGCTGGCTTTATGTACCACTATAGTCATTATCAACTCTGAACGGTATATGTACCCAGTATCCAGATATCATAGTTGAATAGTTGAAAATGTCTTCTCTGTACTTCCTGGTGATGATATGTCCTGTGCAAAAGAATACAGAACAAACCCATTTCTATCAGAGCACATTAGCCAGGCTGATAAAATTCACTTACTCTTGTTTAGAAAAATCACAGAGATGGAGCTGAGAAGGTTTTTTTTACATTTTGCAACTCATGAAAAGAAAGAAACCTAGGAAATGTAGAATATCTTGTACAAAGTCAGACTATTGGTTCTTAGGTGAACATATTAGTAGCAGCTATAGATTTTTGGACAGGCATCTTTTATCTCATTCCTAGAACTGACAGACTCTGGTACATTTTGAGGATAAAGCATGTATGAAGGAGAATATTCATGTCCCAGGATAATATTGCAGGCTCCAATCTGGGTCGGTCACCAAAACCAGAGGTTTTGTCTTCTAAGATTTCAGGAGCCCATCTTCATCTGAACATCTAAAAAGCCACTTACAATAGGCACTATAAATGCCGCACACAGAACAGCACACACTCTGCTAGAGGGAAGTTCCCTGAAGATTGGCTCCAGTATGAGTCTGGAAGCTCAGAAGACAAATCCTCTGGTCCCGGTTACTGACCCAGATTGGATCCTGCATAAAGCATAAACTATGAGTTGTAGGCCTTCCTGCTAGTTTTGGGAATGAGAAATGTGTTTCTATTTATGCAGGAATATTCCAAAATGCTACATTCTGCCTAATTCCCATGAATATGTAAATGGTTCCTCCTTTGTCCAGAAAACCTTAGAAATGCCTAAAGAGATTAAATATCTCTAATGTAAAAAATGTTTGGTCTCAATAAACTTCAAATTCCCAGGTTTCTTAGCTGAAGCCATAAAAAAGTAAAAGTAAAAATTCTGGCTTTAATTCCAATGCCTATTCTGTCCCTTACTGCAATGATTTTACTGGACAAAGATGGTTGATTGATTGATTGACTGATTGATTGCAGTATTTTAAATCACTCAATCCAAAGATTAAGAGTAGTCCAACAGTACACAAAATGTAAGCCATTTGCTGGGGTAACAATGAAACCCTCATAATATGTACAGTGTGCTGCAAGCCAATATAGGACACCAGAGAAGGTGTTGGATTGTGCAGCTAATTGTGTAATTTGTGGCCAATTATTCACTCTCATTCCAAGCTAGCTCAAAGTTATGGAGATAAAATGAGGTAAGATCCCTGCATGACCTCTTAGAAGAAAGGATGAGCTATCATTGGAATATATGCACAAATAAATTGCACGGAATTTTGGAATGCGTATCAGTATGAAAGCAGCATATGCTTGGTGCCGATCTCAACATTTTAGGCCAACCCTGATGAAGTAACCATTGATATCTGTTTATTATTATATCTTTTTGCATATTTTTCATATGTCACATCTGTCACCTTCAATTCTAAATGTTGGAAGTTGATAATTAGTTGACTACAAAGCAAACTTTACATGCTTTTCATATATTAATGTTTAATTTAATTTTTACTGAAAAAATTTTAACAAAAAAAAGCAATACAAATATTAAAAAGAAACAAAAAAATAAGGACTAATATAAATAAGGAAGAAAATGAAAAATTTATAAATAAAATTTATGGATAAAAGCAGGTTCCAATCTTTTTGATAATGATTATAAATACATTTGTATTTTAACTTGTATCTCTTTTAAGGTTACATCATAATTTCCTTCTTTACATATATTATCCTTTCTGATTTTTTCATTTTCACTTTTTCCATAAGGGATTTCCTATCAGATATTAGATATTATCAATAATGTTTTTCCCATACAAGAGAAAACTAGAAATGTTAATCATGTTCTGACTCATGGCAACTTTCAAAACAAGCACTGGTCCTGTGAATGCTATTTTCTAGTCCTGATGAGACCAGACAGTCCTATGGTTTAAGTCCTTTCTTTTTACTACACCCATTTAGGATTGGATCTTTAGGCATTTCATTTTATTGTACTTGTTCAGTGTCTAAAGATACTTTTGTTGTTTATTTGCTGAACTACATTAAATTACTCTGACATAAACTCCTAACTTTGTGCTAATGGTATTTCCAGTGAGCTGCAGGGGAAAATCGGCATCAGTAATCTTCTGGTCATGGCAATTAGACACTTTCTTCCATCTTGACATTCTTTGCATGAGACTTGTTAGAGAAGAATTACACATAAATTCTTGGCAGCACAAAGCAATTAGTTTAGCCTTCACAAGAGTAGAAAATTTTATTTCCCATTATGTTGAAAACCATTAAGAGAATTTCATTCAGTTCCGTACTACATCTGATTGTATTATTCTGAGGGTGTGTGTGTGGGGGGGGGGGGATTGGCATCTTTCCTAGATCCTGTTGTTATTTACTTTTGAACAAGTTTTTTTTTCTTGAAGTGATGCAGAAAAGTATTTGCTAAACAGTTTCCATTTCTTTCCATGAATTGATAGGAAATCAAAGAACATTTCTCATGTAGGGTGAGAATGAAAGCAATTTGGAACAACTGTGCTCCCACAAGTCAGCCATCTTGAGGAACTGAGATTATTTATTTTAGGCTTAGCTGTGATAAATTTATGGTCATTGCCCAATCCAGAATAAAAAGAATATAACACAATTAAAGTAAAGCATATTTTTTGCCTGTAAGAAGCATATGAAAACATTGTAGGTCTTTGTGCTAACAATCAAGTGAGTTGTATATGGAAATTCTCAGTCATCCAGGTCATGGTTGTCTGAAAGATGCTTTTTCAGCACCCTTTTATTTTATTTATTTATTTTATTTTATTGGATTTCTATACCGCCCTACTCCCGAAGGACTCAGGGTGGTGAACAGCCACAGAATAAAACACATAAATACAAAAATTTAAAATAGAATAAAAACAAATTAAATAATTTGGCTGAACAAATTTAAAATACCCCATAATTTAAAAACAAATTAAAATTTACATTCAAAAAGGGGAGAAGATTTAAGCCAGGCCAGCTTGATGAAATAAAAAAGTCTTAAGCGCGCGACGGAAGGTGCGCAGATCCGGAATCCTCCGTATCTCCGGGGGGAGCTCGTTCCAGATCGTAGGTGCCCCCACAGAGAAGGCTCTCCCCCTAGGGGCTGCCAGTCGACATTGTTTGGCCAATGGCACCCGGAGGAGCCCCTCTCTATGGGAGCGTACTGACCGGTGGGAGGCTATTGGTGGTAGCAGGCGGTCCCGTAGATAACCAGGTCCTAAGCCATGGAGCGCTTTAAAGGTGATAACCAAAACCTTGAAGCGCACTCGGAAGACCACCGGGAGCCAGTGCAGCTCGCGCAGGAGAGGTGTTATATAGGAACTCCATGTCACTCCCATAACCACCTGCGCGGCCACACTCTGCGCCAGTTGGAGCCTCCGAGTGCACTTCAAGAAGAGCCCCATGTAGAGAGCGTTACAATAGTCCAGATGAAAGGTGATGAGGGCATGAGTGACTGTGCGTAGGGAGTCCCGATCTAGAAAGGGACGCAACTGGCGGATCAGGCGAATGAAAAATCCTCCCGGTCACGGGCGTCAAGGGCTCTTCTAAAAACAGCCATGAATCCAGGAGGACGCCCAAGTTGCGAGCCCTTTCCGTGGGGGCCAATGATTCGCCCCCAATAGTCAGCGATGGCACCAGCTGACTATATCGGGATGTCGGAAACCACAGCCACTCGGTCTTAGATGGGTTGAGCCTGAGCCTGTTTCTCCTCATCCAGATCTGTACGGCCTCCAGGCACTGGGACATCACTTCAAGGGCATCGTTGGGGTGGTCCGGGGTGGAAATGTACAGCTGGGTGTCTTATCCAAGGAGCTTCTTCAGTTCTTAGTTCAGTTCTTTAGAACTGAAGAAGATTCTTGGATGAAAAGTGAAATGTCTTCAAGGAAAAACAAAGAAAATCCAGTTGGCTTTTGAAAAAGCATCTTTGGGACAATCAAATGAATTACTGAAGTTTTATTATCTTCATAATTTTGTTGTTAAAGAAATTCATATTTTAATTCTTTCGCCAACAATTTTTATTTTGGTCCTTGAAGAATTTAAGTAGATTTATAAGAGCAATCCTGCATATAGCAGGGAAATGTTGTAAACTTAGGTTAATGCATGCAGCAGTCTGTCGTTGGAATTTGAAAGTAAGAACATTTATCAGTGGAGTCTCTGGATTCCTGCATGTTCTACATTTTACATTATTAAGTATACTACTAAGTTTATGCCTTTTTAAATTTTTTTATGGCTCTGCTAAGCTAATAAAATATAACATTGAAAGAAGCCTGCTATTACTTCTATTGGTTACCCCAGGATCACTCTTGATTTTTTCTTTCACCCCACATTTTAAGATGGAAATTGTTGTCTTTCTACCCTGTCATCTCAGAGCTTCACTAAAAAGAAATAGTTGGCATAAGGGCTGATTTCAGAGAAGGTAGTTACTCTGAAATTTGTTTATTTCCATTATCATCCTTTACAGTACAACATTCCCCTATACCTTCCAGCAATGAGTATACCATTGGGAGTCCTGAAGGACCAGTTTAGAGACTTATTGTCATGAGAAAAATCTATGTGGCCACGAGTTATGAGTTCACACTGACTTAATGGCACACAATCAATTAATCATGTCTTCTAGAGCTATTTTTTTCTTAAATTTTAAAGACGGGTAAAATTTTGGATTAATTCAAACAAAGAAAACCAGGTTCACTTCCTTCTCTGACCTTAGAGCTCAACTTTTGAAAAAGATCCCTTGTTCTTTCTCATCCGAGCTTTTCTGAGGAAGATATTAAAAGAAACCCTCATGTCAGCTACTTTCAGCTCTTGAAGAAAGAGCTGGCTTTAAAAGGAAAGACTACTCATTTAAAGGCACCCTGTTTTGCCATAGACATGACATACTAGTGGTTTCAAAAGTGCTTTTTCAAAAGACAACTGGACTATGTTTTTTCCTTGAGGAAAAAGACATTTCGCTTCTCATCCAAGAATCTTCATAAATTCTGGCTGAATGGTTGGGTGCGGTGGTGGAAGGATTAGTTCTGACAGGACGTATGAGTGGGTTTATTTATTATAAACCA